CGTACTACGTGAGCATTAATGGAATGCGTACATTAGGTTATGCATGTCATATTCCAGTTTGAAAACTTTGGAGCTCAAAACAAGCTAGATCTCAAACTCAAGGAATCTATGATATATTTACTGATAGATATTGTAAAAAATTAATCCCATAATTGAATACTCATCATTATAGAATTTTCTTAGATATTTTAAATATATTAATTAACGTAAAAAAATTAATGCATAATATTAATTTAACTGTCAAATATCATGTTCTTTTATCTAGTGCTTGGAATTGGCCCGCAGAACTTGCGACTGCAATTAATTTAAAATCTCAGCTACTTAAAGGTTATTAATTTTAACACACGCAAGGCTTTAATAATTTACATATGCATATATTAAAGATGTGTAAACCTTTCGCACATTATATGATCTCGCGCGAAATGTGAGATGGCTTCATACAGGACGAAATTTGAGTTTAGCAGATTGCAAGTTTTAGTGATAACTCTGTTTTTATTTTATTAAAAAGGAATTTATCTCATTAATTATCAAACGTTCGATAAATTACTGATCACTGATTTGAGATTTAAAAGCCCAAACTACTTAGTTGAAACTTGCGAAATCAAGTAGTAGGCGTATTGCTAACATATGGGGGGGTGTCAATAGAAACCAAGCAAATTGTTTCTAAGTAAATTTCTTTAAAACTTTAAGTTAAAATATCTCAACAACTATTAAACCAAACTTGGTAAATTTTTTTTATTTTAATTTTATTTAGCTATAGAATTAAAATAAAAAAAAATTTTATCAAGTTTGATTAAATAGTTGAGATATTTTAATTTAAAAATTTAAAAAACTCACTAAAAACAATTTGCTTGGTTTCTATTGATATAACGGAGACTAAATAAAATCTTGATATAGTGGATCAAGATTCAGATCCACATCATAATAAATGTGGCAGATTAAAATGAAATGAAGGATAGTGCAAAATAGACAAGCCACCAAAAAATACAAATTTTGGGGGTACATTTTATTTGTTAATAGTTTTTTATTATTTTGCAAATTATCTATTTTTAGATATTATTCATCAATACGTAAAAAGACTACATAACCAATTTTTATTAAGGAATTTTTCTAAAAATTGTTATGTATATCTCGAAAATTTTGTCGAAAAGTTATTTTTATAATTCAAATTTTTATTTTTGATAAACTTTTATAATTATTTCACTTATTGTATACATTTCCGATATAACTATTAGACCTAACATATCAATTTATTTAATCCAATCCTGCTTAGTTGCTACATCATTCTTAGATTCTTAATTTGAAAATAAAAACGAATTTTAATAATCTATGCCATTGATTTAATAAATGACTGGTTTTTTGAGTTTGATACTGTTGATCAAAAATGGGACTTATATTTTGTTATTATCCCAAATGAAGCCGGATAAAGTAGAAATCTCAATTTCCCAAACTTAAACTACGTAATAATGTCATTATTCGAAAAAAGGGTTGCATCGCAACCCTACTGTTGTGCCTCTCTTCTGGCCGCATCTTGTAATAAAGCAGTGTCTACAGCACTAGCAGGTAATTGGACATATCGAACAACCGATCCGCGAATAAAACAATTCTTGACGGCCATCTATTGTTTTTAGACCATCAAGAAATCAAAAAATTGTTCAACAAGTCACTTTCGTTTAAAAGAAAGAAAGGGCAAACCTGAGATATTCAATATTTATATAATCTTTGCTTGACAAAATTATACAATGACACATATAGAGATAATAAAATGCAGGAAAGATGAAATGTAATAAAATACCATGTGTGGATATTTTGCATCATCTACAGCCCGGATTTCATCAAGCTTGATATTTAAGAATTGGTCAACTGAAGTAAGAATGCCAGTGATAGCAAGATCGTTTTTCAATTCCACGGTAACTTGTTGCCCAATTAAAGTCTTGAAAAATGAGTAGAACAACTACAAAGAAATTGAATGTTCTTGTTAAATGCGAAATAATAATATTTCAAGCAAATATTATAATAACATTCTTGAAGAATGGTTACGATCTGCCTTTTATTTTTGTATGATACTCCAATATTTTAAGCACAGAACACGATAAAGCTTTCTAACACTTAAATAGCCGCGTTTTATTTGTGTGGAATCCAGCGCGTGTGAAAGCACGTTTTTCGTTTTTTTTCTAGATGTGTTTATGAGCTCCAAAGTTTTCAAACTGGAATATGACATGCATAACCTAATGTACGCATTCCATTAATGCTCACGTAGTACG